TGAGGCAGATAAAAATGTTTTCTAATCATAAAAACGGAACACTTTATCTTTATATATAATAAATTTCATGATAAATAGATCAGGCTATTTCTTATATAATTGAAATATACGAGTTTTTCAAAGGAAAGTAAAAGACGGGGTTCTATGAATAAATATTAGTAATACATGTAGTTACACCGTCATGTAAGTTGGGTTTTATTGTTGTTTTTTATGATGGCTGATTTTAAATGTTCTTGGAATTTCATCCATGTTTGGAAGAATTTTCTTTCGGTGTATTCTTAATTCTTTCGGTGTTTTCTTAATTAGCATCATCCGTTATTCATATGTTTGATAAGACCGCATGTAAGCACGCGGTCTCGAATGGAAGCGCAAGTCGTATTCTTTCGAAGAACAGGCGAGTACTGGTAGACAAAATTTAAAATTGTGATGTAAAAATAACTGGTAAAAAATGAGAAAAACGGTCTTATACTAAGGATGGACTATACTTTCACTGAAAGTAATATTTTGGGAAAGAAAGATGCAGAAGTTGACTTTGATTCGATATGCACAAATAATATAATCGTCGTATATATCCCAGAATGCAGAATTGTTAAATAATGCAGGATTGTGCAACATCAGACATAGTTGTGGATATAAATACCGAAAACTAGTATCTTATGAAGCTATATAGTTTGGCAAATGTGTTAGGTATACCGAAAAGCAAACTATAAAGAAAGGCTATATGTGCGTTATTGTACTCATTAATATTGGCGGAACACAAACTTCAACACCAGAACAGTAGCCAGTTCGTTTTTCTCACAAATAATCTGGAATATATGTTATGAGGGTCATTACAGCCGTATGCGCTAATTAATTTCTATTAATCTTTAAAATATTAATAGACCCTTTTTCCTATTCAAAGTGGTCATTACAACCCTCCCCCACAATTTAGCGTTATTTTACGGTGAATATTGTGTACTGTAATGCACGAGTTTCTCGACTTCACATATTTTCTATTGTAAAGAGAACAATAGAACAAAAACAGGTCGGTATATATTTGCAGACCTGTTAAGCGGTCGGTTAGTGATTTACTAGACCGCTTTTAACAAAAGAGCCGGTAGGTAAACATGTATCTTTTACAGTAAATTAAATTGAAAAAAAATGAATTGTCACATACGTTTGCCAATACATTATATCTTAAACCTCTTTTAAAGTGTATGTTTTTCAAAGTCATTGTTCTCTATTTTATAATCTAGTTAGTGTATTGAAGACGACTTTTGTTTTTCGTCGATATGGATAAATACAAAACTGTGTATATCATGTTATAGCTTTATATATTTAATATACCTGACAATTTTGCCAAACTATCCGTGCTATAAAACCTTAAACTAGCAGATATTATGTGACTAAGACAATTTTTACGAGGTGACACCGAGTTCTTGTTACCTCATAAAATGTACCCGAATAATGGTGGTTTCTACTTCCTTTTTTAGTACGATATGACACTAGTTTGGCAAATGTCCAAGGTAACCAAATATCATCATTATAATATCTTAAATGCGTTTTTATACTTACTTATACGGACAAAATACAAAAGACGCCTTTAGGTTCAATTTTAAGAATGTTTACTCACTGTGCTACTCGTTTCGGCCTTAAACAGATTTGACGTTACGTTTGCACAATTCATGCTCCGGTGTTAATTGATATGCAAAGTGGAATAAGACGTTTAAATAATTGTCCTTTCATGATGTTGTTATTTCACGCTTTGAATACACGTGCCGTCATGGAGCGTACGAATCTATTCTCAATTTGAATTAGTTTAAACGGTTAAGTTATTAATCTTGAAACAAAAATATGATTTGGACTGAAATTTTGGAAACAATTAACATTTTATTGAGAAATAAGATAAATTTTGTTGTGTTTATTAGTCATTAATTCCAGCACGTTAAGTGTTGAAGATTGAATACCACTATAGTTAGTTCTAGGGACCGTGAGGTTTGTTGCATTTAACCATTATCCTTCATGAAAAGACTCAATCAAACCGAGTCTGCAGTTTTCATGTAATTTTGTTGTTTTTAATACTTCTTAGGGATCACTTTCTTCAAGATATTCTCATCAGCTTTCATCTTGGAAAAATATTTTTTTCTGATGAACGGATAACGGTTATTGTATCTAAGTTTATAAAATTTACAATTGCATGTTTTAAATGGTACAGTTAAAAAAACAAAAAAAAAGTAATGTATTATGAAAGCAACTTTGACAAATTTGTATCAAAGGGAAAGCAATCTTGCTTATCAAACTCATTTTTCATGAACACGAATTACTCCTCCTTATATATTTAACCATGTCATTTCATAATTCCATTTTGTAAAACAGGTTCTCTTCGAAATAATTATCCAGGTGAAAAAGTCGGATAGCAAATAAAGTCATAATATATTTATGTTCTATTCTGTGCTCTGAAAGTGCAAGAAATATTACACGATACTAAATAAATGTTCGTGTAGTATGTTCCATCCGAATGGTTAATCATATTTGCTAACTATATCGTTCAAATTCCTGTCATGTAATTTCATTGATGGCCTCTTTTTTATTATCATGAAAATAAATAAATTTCCCATCACACCGACATGGCGTTTATTCGGCGAGCTAAACCGATATTTTTCGGAAAACCACGTAGTCGTATTAGAAACCCTAATGTCTTTTTCGACGAAATTGCTTTCTACAGCTAGCCGTCAAAGCGGAGACCTGTTAAATGCAGTTTTGTCCAGTACATTTAAGAAGATTGTAATGTGTTTATACGATATCCATAAGACGTTTCTATGATGTTTCTAAGGAATTTATATGCGACCTTGCATGTGTCCATTGCCTTCTTAGGGTTACATAAAGACTTTACGGCGACACTAACGTTCATGCAGCAGCCCGATATATGTTACTAACTACATGAGCAAGTCATTACACTTACATGCTGTCAATGTATGTCCAAACGGAATTATCTTCTGAAAGCAATAAACAAAAACTAACATTCGGAAAAATAAAAGTCGGTTTAATATAACATGTTGATGAGTAATAAAAGAATGTGCCACACCTCTCAAGATACTCTTCTTGTACAGGTTTAATCAGTATTTAGCTATCAACACTAAAACATTAGAATCTATGATAACAAAAGATCGCAAAAATAATAAATGTGAGGTAAACCGACTAGAACATGGCCGATAGGTAATTAATAAACTGAAAAAATCCCCACTGAATAATTTTGGAAGTCTAAACAAAACCATTTTATGTGTTAATGTAAAAATAAAACGTATCATTGCAAACATTTCAATTCCAACTAGATACTTTAAAATAACCTAGCTTGGGTTAATATTACATCTTTATAACTCAAAACCACACAATTAATGGGTACATAGGGACAGCGACATGCTATTTACCAGTTAAGAATTTCGAAATTTGTTACATGGTTATATGGTTTTATGAGCAAGCACCGATAGATCCGTTTTCATAACTTGTATGACGTTTAATTTTAGGGGTGTCATGGTTAAATTAATTGTAATTGTTTAACATATTATTGTAAATTATGAACTTTTTTATTGGTATTTGGAATAAAATAAATGCATTTTTGGTTACGTTTGCTTACAGGTATTACCAGAATTGGAAAAATAAGTAATTAAGGGTTTAGCAATTGCTCAGTGCCATGGCCATCATATCTATTGTCTTGTAATAACCTTTTAGCGAAGAAACAACGTAGTTCCACAATACACATTTTAATTCATTTAAAAAACTATAAGTCACACTGAATATAACATAAAACAGAAAGAAACAACATTCAGAGCTCGATTTTCCATGAATAGCAGAACACACATTGCAAATGATCATAATAAACAGCTGTTTTATTTAAAACTATTCTTAAAAGCGTTTGTGAACTATATGTCGCATTTCAGAATTACCTCTATAACACAGTCAAGCATATTAAGCCTAGAAATAAGTCAATCATACGTTCATGTTAGTATTTATATACTTCATCAGTTAAACATATTGATGTACGTCATGTACGTGTCGGTCTTCTTAAGTACACGCATTCAAATTGTCATTTATTGTCAATGTTACATATTAAATATTTTCAGCACACAACTTTTCTACTCTCTCTTTTATATATACATTAATTTATACTTTAAATATTCATAAATAAAATATAGTGTGACAAATCTCTTCATTATAAAAATAAAATCATTTTTTGACATTCCGGAAGGAATCGCACGTTGATTAAGCAAACAGTATTAAAACACAAAAGTTGTCACTGATTCTAGCATTTTAAAGATATAAAAATCCCATCTTGATGTTTTATATTATTTATTTACTGTTTCAAATATTATCAAATGACAATTTGAATACAGTATGATTGTTTAATAAAAATGACACAAGTATGATGTATTTTTTAAACGAAAGTAAGTGAAAGGAACTCATTTCTTAAAGAATGAAACTTAAAGTAATCATATTTACAAGTTAATTGTGAAACGTAACAATATGTTTTTTCTTTTTAAAACATAAGAAAATAAATGTTTTATGAACAACTACATTATCATATCATTCATAACGTTAAATTATACCCAGTAAAAGCAACACTTATTAATGTATAAAAGCATGTTACATTGGCTCTAAATGAACAATCGAGCTACAAACCTAAATATATGTAACTATAGATGCTATTTACTTCAGTCAAAATATTGCAACCAGGCGGCGCAAAATGCACGTACCTGATAATTGTTACACATATGGTATGCCAATTGTTTATGAAACGTTTAGGCAAAACAACTTTTTGTATTGTCATATTATTTACATAATCGAAACATCATAAACAATAATAGAGCTGGAAAATCCCTTTTTGCAGCACACATAACAATTTTCTTTAACGCACATTTATTGAGCCGTTCAAGGTAAATTGTTTTAAAACTCAAACGCTGTAACTGATTTCGCCATTAATTTTAGAATAAGAGCCATCTCGATGATTTTTATAAGTTCCAGAGTTACTGAGGTATTTCACATAGAAAAGGGAATTTACTGTTACAGGATAAGTTAAACCATTGAAACCTTTCTAATGCTAGGCACAATCTTGAACTTTCAGATTTTGGATAGCCGGGATACCATTTAAAGTATCCGCTATTTGTTCCATATGTATATTCCCACGGTGACGTAGAACTCTTGCGTCGGCCTCCAATGATAATATCAATTACAGAAAAACCGCTCAACACGGTCTTGACATCAGCATACTTTAAGTCTGAGTTGATGTTGATCAAATGTCCACCATCTTCATTGCATTCAGCTTCTGCATCGTCGTGATTTTTATATGTAACTTGAAGCTTAATACAGAATCTATTTGAAGTCAGATTATAGGTATTCGGACACACTCCTTCACACAAGCCGAGGTCTGTTTCCACCTCTGATATTTTGCCATTTTCACTTGTTTCACGAATGCACTCTCTACTTCGATTTCGAATTCCAAAATGATTTAAAATTTTTACGCCACATTCAGTCCATTTTGTCCATCCAGAGCATTGATGAAGATTTTTCATCGCCATTCCTATGAAAGTAAGCATGGGTTTGTTCAAGCGTCTACCCATCTGTATCAACGTTTTGCCACTTATACTTTCTCCATCAATACCTGATGTTTCATCGTTTGCGTCACATTGTATTATTTTATTCATCAAAATAAGCACAAAGATCAAGCTCATTAGAAACTTGTCTGTAAAACAAAACCACATTTTGTACTGTTTAACTAGTTCTATGCTTATAACGTAAAAACTCAAAGTATATCGTTTAAATCCAATTTCAACTTCTCAAGTCAATATATTCTATGCATATAAAAGAAGAACTTCTTGAAAAAGATTAAATACATATTTAATGTGGAGGATTCAAAAAGTGTTGGATTTCTATTGGTTTCATTCGGTACTTGCACAGCCGATACCTCATGCAAATTTTCAAATAGAGATGTATATTACTTACCATGTATTACTGACCTATACAATAGGAGACACTTAACACTCATCGATGAGTATTATAACCATTTAGTGAAAACATACCTTTCATTTATTTTTCTCGCTATTCTCTATTAGCTTAACAGAACAATAAATAACAATTGATTTTATAATGCTATTTTCGTTATTTTTCGTTCTTGAGTGCCTGAGTTCATTTTCAAATAAATTCTAAAATTATTTTTAAACATTACCTGAACAAAACACATTGAATTTTATACTTTTAAGCTTTGTTTTAAACAATTTCTTAATAAAACACTTTTATTAGTTAAAAAACGAGAAAAGACATTTTCGTCTTCTTTTGATTTTCTTTTATGGATCTTATATTGCAATATCAGACCAATAGTTTTTCAACAAATTGTTGATCACCCCTCAGTTTGTAGCACATCCTGTTTACTTCAATATTCCTGAGAATTGGCATATGCTTCTAATTAGATGTTGAAATGAGAATTAAGTACAGTGAAAAAAGAGTTTATCTGGTATTCATAACTCGTATAATTGCCCCTACTGGGAATTTTGGTTTTCCTTTGTGCCTGTTTTTCACGTTTTTAAGTGTTTATTTACATTGCACACGAAGGCATATAATGCTCGATTTCACTTTGCTTTTAAAATACTCAATACTGTCAAATAAACAAATAAAGTCGATGTTGCACTGATCGTAATAGACCAAATTCTTTATGTGATATATTAAACCGGTTTAACGCATTATTATACAAGAGGTTTAACAAAGGTCTGTAATAATATATTAATTTATAGAATTGTCTATTCCAGTCCCTTCATTTCTTGAAAGGATAGAAATTGCCTTTCCTACTTCATGTCAATTAATATTTCTATTTGGCTCTGAGACAAAAACCAAAACAACAACAACAAAAACAACAACAACAACAACAAAAACAACAACAAAAAACAAAAAATAAAGAACGCAACTGAACGCAGCAAAAAAGGGTTTAAATCATTGTAAAGTTATTATTCCGAGTATACTATTTAAATGAAACTCATCTCTCCTCCCCCCAAAAAAGAAAAGATATCATCTTAGTCGTTTTAAATTTTTATATTTCAACAAGATCATTCAATATTAACTTGACGTTAATACCTACTTTTTAGATAAAAGCTTTATTAACATAACAAATAAAAATAAAGAGTTCGGCTTAGTCGTAGCTTGGATAAAGACTTTTTTGAAAACCATTACCACTCAAATTACTTTCCTTGTATACCAGGTGCGTATCTATACAACAATAATCTGAGTCAATTTCAAACACATATTGATCACGTGATGTAAAGTTATGTTTGCATGGTGTCTGTACCTTACAATTAGGAAAAATGTCTTTAAACCCTTTTACACTAACCAGATGTGTGTTATTTAAACACAGTTCTTAATTACCATACTAGACTATGTAAGCTGATGATATAATACGCACACGTATACCCAGTTCATTTGTTTTGAGTTTGTAAAATGCATGATCATGTCGGTGAATCCATGTACATACTTGTTATGCTTAAAGCCTTATAATTATGTTCTTTATCATTCATTTTGCGTAGCTCAGCATCTTGTTGCCATTTTAACGGAAATATCAAATATGATTCGCAAGAATGCAGATATCAAATATACACTTTAAAAGTGTTAATATATTCATGAACATGCAAAAGAGCAATACATGTTTACTATTTTAAGTATCAATAATCATAACAAAATCTTTACTAGAAAACTATGGTACAATGTTCATTCACCCCACCCACTTTTAATAAATAAGAATCAACGTCTTCACTCGACGGAAGACATAGATAAGGGTATTACTGGAAAGAGGTTGTTCATGTTGTTGTTATAGATGGTTAAAATATTCAAGTTATTCATTTTGCCTGGACTTATAGGTAAACAACCGTAATTTAGCGATATTTTTATGCAATTTTCTGACGAATTCAACTTAGAAATACAGATAATATATAATAAATTGAAACAAGTGCTCATTTTCACATTGATCCAACTGGTCTTATACTGAAATAGATACAGAAACTAACTAATTTTATCAAATAAAATGCGTATGAGCCATTTTTCAATAAATTGGCGGCCATCTTGGCGGTCATCTTGGATTTTTCAAAACGTACCATGATTTGACTTGTCTTCCCAAAATGTGTTCAATCTTTAAATATTTAGCTTTAATCTGATGTATCATTTATCCATGGACCTTTTTTGCACACAAAAGTTCACCGGGGACTGTACTAGTAACAGTTACTTGTTATTTAACAACTTGCTCGAGCGTTAATTAAAGTGATATAATGTCCATCCAGCTGTATACAGTGACAATCGCATCTTTTTGGCCTTTTAAGCAAGTTTTCACATTAGACATAATCTCTAGAAATCTCATAGTCTCTGCTTCCATTTTCTGATGTTTCAAAAAAGAAATTTCTGCTACGATGTCTTATTCTTTTTTTCATGTGAAATTTAGTTCATTTTATTTTATGCTTTTCAGTGGATTACTGATTTATCCGTGAAAATTATATTTGATAATGTCACAGTGAAAATTATCAAAATATAATTTCACACTTTTCAATGACGAAACTACTTTTTAAGATTTTCCCCATGTGATACCTCAGTTTTAGTTTTGCTGACAATTTTGACAATTACAGGCTGTTTAGAGAAAAGCAAAGCTGAAATTGATGAAGCACTTAAATGTCAAAAGTAATAAAAAGAAGAAAACTTACTTCTATTCATCAAAATTACCAATCACCAAGTATCGTCTCTTATTTTTTGGTTTATTTTTACAGTATAAAACATATATTCCTTCCACATGCAAAACTGTTCTTGATGACATTTGGGCATATATAATTGTCCTATGAGCAATAACTATCGTATGCTTTATGAAAACTTGAAAAGCAATGACAGCCATCAGCCCGAAGAATAAGGTAACAACCCGGCGTTCATAAGGCAGCCTTTCAACAAATCCAAGTTTCCAATTTCCTAGTCGTCTTTTGAATGTTTACACATATGTCAACACTTATATATTGTTTTTTACAATCCTCAAATAAGTTTTCTTTCTTTTAAAAAGGTGTATGACTAACAAATCCAAATGATATCCCTCTGAAGCAAACACAATAATTTATCTCCCGTGAAATACACAGCTTTTAAAAATGGCGGCCGTTTACATTTAACAGAGCCAAGTCTAATATAAATTCGCAGTAAGTAACATAAGTATGGATGGATGGCTGGACTTTTTCTCCTACTAGAATTGTTTGTTTTTAATATTAAAACAAGCGATCATTCATGTTTTTATAATAAAAAGAATAATATCACCGCCATTTAACGTTAATTATCAAACTTATTTTTCAGGCCAAGACTTCTTGTATATTATGAGAAATTCGACAAATACATGTACATAATAGAGGCTACCAGTTGGGAAACAGATTTTAATATTAAAGGTAATATCAAGGAAATTTCGTTTTAACTTGTTTGTAAGCATAAAATAATAAGAAAATTTGTTTGTTGTGTAAGATGTTATTTTATCTCGTGAACTTTAAAAAACAGTGAGAATACTGTTTTGAAAGCTCATTCGATGAAATAAAATTTCATCTTACACACAAACAAACCAATATCCTCTATGTCATGTGCCCATACAAAGTATGTGTTTTTTTTTAAATTGCAATTCCAATTTAAGTAAGCAAATGTTTGTTCAAACGTCTGCCCATTTGTACTTGTCATTTAGACTTTCCCCAAAGGTATCCGCAGTCGTATTGCCTGTATCACAACCTACTTTTTATTCTCAAAGTCAAGCTCACTTAAAACATGCCTCCGTTAAGTACCCACATTTTATATTGTCCTTTACCTTTATAGCTAAAAAATTAATACAATAAAATTCTAATTCTGTTTAATTATTTACGCCTGTAAATGGTACTTTTGAATCCCGATATTCTACAAATTGACAATATTTCATAGCCTGCCGATGAAGGGGATATTGAAATGGCGATGTCCGGCTATGTCTGAAGCCATAATTGGTTTGTGCATTTTTTCCTGTATTTTAGATAGAGAGGAAAACACCACGTGGTTTTTATAAAAATCCACAAGGTGATGCTTTGCAAATACTATTAAAGGGACTTTTTTCAACGCTTTTCACTTTTTGCTTTTCACTATCGGGCTAAGAATTGCAAACAACATAATTTATTTTCAATTTTATTCTAAGCATGTAATTTCTTTATTATCATTTGTAGATTTTTCCATTTTAAATGTTTCACTTGATCTATAAATGCATTTCAAATTTTATGATTTTAGTCTCATTGACCTCAGTAAGCAACTTAACAATTTGAAATTGCATTTCTGACTTATGTCCCTTTGAAATTTAAAAAAAGAAGCAATTTCAAAAATGACAAACTTCATTCTTAGGCAAACTTATATGTTTTATTGTTATGCCATTAAGCATGAATGTATATTGTAATAATAAAATGATGATCATCAAATTTTTAAGGAAAATTTCAGCCATTGTTTAAATTTAGCCATTAATGAATTAAAATTACCCATTTATGAAGAAAATATCTCTGTCGAGAGCTACATTAATTTT